CTTGCTCCGCTGATTACACCCCACTTTGGCTATGGGGGTGTGTCAGAATGTTATCTTATGCTCTAGCCTGTAGTGGGGTGCTCTATAGCGAGTACAACCATTCTAGGGTTTGCTATTTGTATCCTCATTCCTGCTAGTTCAAGTCCCTTCTTTCTTCTAAATTTCACAGAGTACCCTTGCACCGCGCTACCGGTTTTTTTTATATCTCTTAATCTCTTGGAGCGCACGAGTGCTTTTTTGATGTATTCATACTACTTCAGGAAAGAGTGTCGTGATGGTTCTGAGTTACATTCTCAAACCGTGCATTGCTTACAATACATTCCTTGGTTTTGTTTCCCTTTTTGGATTATAAGTTTCCGCAGTGCTGCCTATATTGTCATCTAGTCAGGTGCGCGAGTGAATAGGTGTCGCTAAGATGGGTCCATGGGTGGAATTACTGAATCGATTTTGTATGATTTTGTGGGTGCGCAATTGATTGTTCGGTGCAGTTGTCGCTGCAATGTTGCAAGCGACCCTGAAAAAATAAAACCCAGGGCTTACGGCATGCCATTCGGGAGCCTCAACCCTAAAAGTTTAGGGTTGATGCTCTTGAAATGGCACGCCTTTCGAGTGTGTTTTATTTTTTCATTGCCCGCTGTCAGCTAGCGGACTCAATTGCACAGCCAGCTGATGCTGGCAGTGCAATATTTTTTTCCACAATGGATGATGACTGCAGACGCAAAAGAAAAAGACAGCTCCTACGCTGGGTTTGCAATTATTGCTTCGGGATTGCGTCAGATTCGTTAACGCGGAATTTTGGGGAATCTAAAATTGATAAATCAGAATACGCAGAGCATCCGCACCATGATGGCGGCTGTAGAGACAAGTGGCAGTCCATGGGATTGAAGGATATAAAGGCCCTGTTCGGCAGCACTTCGGGAGCACTAAAAACAGGTCATCTTGGCCGTTGGGAGCCTGAAAAGTGTTCATGTTGGCCGTTGAGAGTGGTTCGGCACCACCAAAATCGCCTGCGACCCTCGTGCGACAAGACTTCATTCCGAGCTACCCACCCCACACAACTCCGAACCCCTCGCCCAACCCCAAGCCTGATGTGGACCCAGAAGTCAGACAACAACCAATCACAAGAAGGGAAGGCCAGAAGATGGCTGCTCATCTTTTCAACGTTAGTACCCATCTTCCGCCTAATTGAGACTTCCATTTCGGGCAGCGTGGGGGGTAGACCCTGCGTCCCCCAAGTGCCAACCTGCCCAGATTGGGGGTATTTTTAAACATGTGCATCGCCAGCAAAAGGCCCCGCGAACACACGAACTATGAAAGTTTAGAAGAAAGAAGAGGGTTGACTAGCAAGAATGAGGATACAAATAGCAAACCCTAGAAGGGTTGTACTCGCTATAGAGCACCCCACTACAGGCTAGAGTATAAGATAACATTCTGACACACCCCCATAGCCAAAGTGGGGTGTAATCAGCAGAGCAGGCAAAGCAGTACAAGCTCAGGGTGGATCACAATGTCACCACACATTCTGAGCACAAGTTCAAGAAGCAATAGTTTAGAGTTCACAATTATGAGCAAAGCTAGTGGTAGTAACAACGGGCAAGTGAGGAGGAGGAGAGAGAGTGAGAGGAGAGGAGATAGGAGGCGACGGCTGAAGCTGCAGACACACGGGCAACAGGAGGCAGACTGGCACAGCGGCTACCGGGCGAAGTCCCCGGAATACAGGAGTAACAGGCCCCGCGGCTAAAGTAGCGGCAGACGAGCAACGGACCCACGGGCGGCTGGCACAGCTGGCTAAGACTAGGCTACCGGACGAAGTCCCCGGAATACAGGTGCTGCTGGCGACATGACGGCAACCTCCGTGCAACTTCCCCAAACTATCCCACTCCCCCTGGCACACACCCGCTGCTACACCGCTAGCTCCACTCCCACGCACCCCCCCTTAAACCCTAAACCCCAGTCTCCCACACATCCACCCCCCTCAGCGACAACTGCAGCAGTGGGAGACGAAGGAGGAGGAGGAGCAAAGGGAGGAATGAAGAAGTGCCACCCCCATACTCGCCACCCCCTACTTGCCACCCCCAAACCCTAACACAGGCAGGGTGGGATGGCGGGTAGGGAGGAACCAACGCGAGGCTTCCCAGGGCGCCAAGACAGGCAGCAGAAGGGGCGGCGCTCTCCCCCCTCCCGCAAGCGGCCCCCGAGGGTCGCCTCGACAGGCGACGGGAAAAGGGGGGGGGGGGGGGGGGAGGCGGTGTCGAGGAAGGGGCCCACCACGGGCCTGGTAGGGTCGCCCGAGCCGCGCACAGGCGACCCAAGTCGCGCGCGGGCCTGGCGCCGCCCGTACGGGCCGCGCGCGGGCCTCGCGCAGCCCGTACGGGCCGCGCGCTGCCTGTACGGGCCGCGCGTAGGCCACGACGGGCGACGGGGGGTGACGACCGGGTCCCCGTCGCCCGTCGCGGCGCCTCCCGAAGGCGACGCGCCGGTCGACGGGGCCGAAGCCCGCCGCGCGCCTCGGGGCGCACAGCGGGCAGAGAACCGCCGCGCGCCTCGGGGCGCACGGCGGGCAGAAAACCGCCGCGCGCCTCGGGGCGCACGGCGGGAAGAAAAAAATGCCGCACGCCACGGGGCGTGCGGCTCAGAGAGTAGTTGCAGTGGTAGCAGCGGAAGCTAGGAGGTGGTAAGCCCACCCACAGGGTCGATCCAAGGGGATCGACCTGCTCTGATAGCATGTGAAAGTTTAGAAGAAAGAAGAGGGTTGAACTAGCAAGAATGAGGATACAAATAGCAAACCCTAGAAGTGTTGTACTCGCTATAGAGCACCCCACTACAAGCTAGAGCATAAGATAACATTCTGACACGAACAGCAGCCCAGTGTGCGGCCCAGCAACGAACACACGAACAGCAGCCCAGCAACTTTTTTTTTTTTCAGATTTTCCGTCCGCGGGAGGCCTGACCGAGGGGTGATCCAGGGCCATAAACCTGAGTGAGTTGGATGTGTGGAGGGATTTTTGGGTCGTTCATGTTGGCCGTTGAGGTCCGGTGGCCTGGTCTGATTTCTCTGTCCTTTGCGCGGACACTGTAGATACACCTTAGATTTTGCTGACGTGTTGCCACGGTGTCAGGACGACAAGTTGCCTTTGGTTTCCGAACTTCCCAACGTTCGGAACCAGACCTCCCGCACAACACCGAACCTAGATGGGAAAAAACGTGCAATTTTGCAGCCGAACAAGGCCAAAAAAACGGGTAGCGCGGTGCGAGGGTAGTCGACAGATTTGAGTGAAATTTAAAACACGTCGCGTCGCGCAATTATTTCCATTCTTTTGTCAGTACAGTTGACCGTTTAGTGTACAATACATTCATTGTTACAGTGCACTGAAAACTGAAATGTCAAAGGATTACTGTAACTCTACTGCTCTGATCGAGAGAGAATATGCTACTGCATCCGCGCTGTTAAAACAGACAGAAAATGCCACCCAGAGAACTGCTAACTCCACTCTTGTACAATCTGCTGCACCACTGAAGTGTACGGAACTCTTTGGGAGACCTTGTTCTAGTAGATTTGTCTAATTGAACCATACCGAAACATTATTAAAAAACCTTGAACCGTGCTATTCCTCTCTTGACTCTACTGTACCGAAATCATTATTGGCGAGAAACAGAGACTCTTTTGCAGCCAAGTCATTGCCGTGCAAGCCAGCTTGGTGAGAATGTTGGTGCAGCAGTGCGGTGGCCTCACGCCACCTCACGTCAGTTTCTTTTGTTCTCAGAAAATCTTTAACTGTAGGCGACGGCCTGGCTGGATTGCTTTCCTTTGCCAGCTCGGACGCAATAAGTTTGCTCCTTTGCCAGCTTAAAACAAAATGCTTTCCCGTTTCACGATTTTCCATACACTTTTCTGGTTCAGTATCCCAGGTTAGGGGCAAATTCATCGCATGCTCTTGCAACACCGGGACAAAACGCATTGAAGGTAGCATTGTATAAAGGGAAACATTATGCGCTATGGAGAATGGGAAGGTTTCATCAATTCAACCTTAATGTAGAGAAGTAGAAGTTGGAAGCTTTCTTCCAGTCTTAGAACATTGGAGGATTCCGAGAAGTACTCGAATTTATTAGAGTCGGTCCTGAATTTGCCGGACTATGTTAGGATAACAAAAAACAATCCAATTGTATACACCTTTTTTTTGCGCTACACTGGCAACGGGATTCACTGGCTACAGTCAAACTGTTTCCTGTACGTATTAGGAATTGTTACAATAACTGTCTCTAGGGGGTGAGTGATTCGCAATTTCGTTATCCTGGGTACCCTACCGAGCCATATCAAACGTTCAAACGACCGTTTTGAAAGTAACTAACCACGGCAAACCGTACTGGCGCAAAAGTCCACTATAACGCGTCCTCTAGTGCGTTGAGCCAGAGGGCCCATATAGCCAACGACAGTGTAGCGCGAAAGAGGGTGTATCGTCTGAGGAATCTGCTGCGGAATTGGCATGTCATATTTTGGTTCAGTTGTTGAGGTTGTAAGAAATGGGTTCCCATCCCACACTGAATTAGCTGGTAGGCTAACCATCATCTTCAGAATGCAGATAACAAGTCTGACCACCAGAGGACGATAGTGAATGGCTGCTAAAGACCGAATAGCAACCACTGCTTCCACACATTGTCAGAGAATTTGTATGCGACGACTGAATAATAAGCTGTTCCCTGCTGCTGCGAGCCCTCCTCGCCGCTGGCGATTCAAAGCAGCTGTGACGGTACAAGTAGCAGCTTTCTGATGACATCGAAATCGAACGGCGACGGTTGGAGCAGGCACCTCCTAAGTTGTTTGAAGCATAAACAGGAGGAGGAAGGGGAGGATGACACGGCAGTGGCAGGAGCTCCTGTCGATTGCTCCTCGGTGTTATTCCAGGGTAACAATGAGGGAAGTCTGCTTTGAGGAAACAGTTGGAAGAACGAGACGACCTCCGTCTCGCTCTCTTCCGCATCTACCTTACACCGCTCCCATCATGCCTCTCTCAGCGCCTGTGGCTAAGTTGCATGCCTGTGATCTATGGCTACTAGGATTACATGAGTATTCTAACTATAGGCCTAGGATCTCATCATGCCTAGGGATCTTATCATGCATAGGGATCTCATCATGCCTATGGATCTCATCATGCCTACGGATCTCAATCATGCCAACGGATCTCATCATGCCTACGGATCTCATCATGCCTAGGATCTCATCATGCCTAGGATCTCATCAAGCCTACGGATCTCAAGATCTCATGCTGGTCTGGTCAAACCGCGGTTTAACTGATCTCATGCGGCGCAGTGATAGCAGCAGCGCCCTCTCACTCCTCGCTCCCCCCATCCTTCTCCTGCTACCTCTCCCCCCTCTCCCTCCCATTCCCATCCCAGCGCCGCTGTTCACGGTGCTGGTGGTCGTGTGGGTAGCATGCGGTGCAGTGACAGCGGCGTGGCTACTGTGGGACCGGCACTCGCAGTACGAGAGGCACAGAGAGGAGGCGCTGGGCGTGTGGTGCAAGGAGCGCGCCCTCATGCTGCAGCAGCTCGTGCTGGCCCACGCGGGGCAGATGCATGTGAGGCTGGGTTGGTGTGTTACCCTGATCTCATTTTCCCATCCCTCATGGCCTCATGCCCTCATCATCTCATGCTACAGCTGCTCGTGCGGGCCATGCTGGGCAAATGGAGGTAAGGTGCTCACCCATGCTGGGCAAATGGAGGTAAGGTGCTCACCCATGCTGGGCAAATGGAGGTAAGGTGCTCACCCATGCTGGGCAAATGGAGGTAAGGTGCTCACCCATGCTGGGAAAATGGAGGTAAGGTGCTCACCCATGTTGGGAAAATGGAGGTAAGGTGCTCACCCATTCTGGACAAATGGAGGTAAGGTGCTCACCCATGCTGGGCAAATGGAGGTAAGGTGCTCACCCTGCTGGGCAGATGGAGGTAAGGTGCTCACCCTGCTGGGCAGATGGAGGTAAGGTGCTCACCCATGCTGGGCAGAGCAGGTTCGTTTGGAGAACGCACACCATCTCACAGGGCAGATGATCAAAGGAAAGAGTAACTCAAACATACATTGAATAGGATCTGGCCTGCTGGGAATGTGATGGGTGGCTTTTTTAGTATACGCAAACCACACCGATTAGATAATAAGGTTAAAGGGTAATCTAAGCACAGATAGTGGTGGCGCTGGCCTACTCGGTTGGTGGTGGTCCAAGCACAGCAGACTGCAGCATATCGCACCGCACAGCACAACACAGCACACCAAAGTACAGCACAGCACACAACCGCACAGCTCAGCACTGCACCGCACAGTACTCACTGCTGCAGCACGAAGAGCTCTCACTACCTCCCTTAACCGCAACACAAAGGCTCCAGCGGACAGCATTCCTCCATGCGTGAGGAAGCCTGGCAAGCCACACGTATAATACTAATGCCTTTTGCTGTTCAGCCTTATTCTGTTCACATAATCCTTTCTTTTCTGGACTGTGTTTCCTTCCCATTCTTCAGACTCTTGGCGGGGTTGACCTCTGTGATGGGAACGCCAGGGCTTGGGGGCAAGTTGGACATGGGCGGGCGTGTGTGTGTGTGAGCTAAAATCCATCCCTTCTGCTGTGCACCTTCTTTAATAATAATCCCAATCGCCTCCCGTTCTTCAGACTCTTGCAGGGCTGATTTCTGTGATGGGAACGCCAGGGCGGGGGGGCAAGTGGGACATGGGTGGGTGTTTGGACTATAAAAGTAGTGCCTTCCGCTGTTCAGTGCTCACTCTATGTAATGATTTATCCAATCGCCTCCCGTTCTTCAGACTCTTGCAGGGCTGATTTCGGTGATGGGCAAGCCAGGGCAAGGGAGCAAGTGGGAGATGGGCGGGTGCTTGAATGGCAGCATGTGGGGGTCGTTCCTCACTCGCACGGCACAAACTCGCCCGGGGAACACGGGTGCACTCGCGTGTGCGGTGGTGTACGATGCAGAGAGGTGAGAGGGGAGAAAGAATTGGTTCGGGTTGCAACAGCAGCATACCTGGGAGCAAGGTTGTGTGAACGGCCGCATGTGGGTGTCTGATCTCACTCTCACGGCCCAGGATCGCCTGGGAAACACGGGGGCGGTCGCGTGTGCGGTGGTGCACGATGCAGAGAGGTGAGAGAGGGGAGATAGGAGTGGTGGAGAGGAGAGTGGAGAGGGTGGAGGGAGTTGAATGTGAGATTAATGTGAGCTATTTCCATCTGCTTTGAGGCTACTCTCATCCCAATCTGCACTGCACCAGACCTACTATCAGCAGTGGTAGTGTTACACAACGCAAGCATAACATAAAGTTAAATTTATGCGTAAAAGGGCTGGCAGATGCAACACTAATGGCATTTTTCTTTTCCATCATGCCTTCCATCCATTCTTATCTGATCCCACACACTTTGCTGCAGGGCGGACTTTGAGAAGCAGTACGGCAGCATCAGAGATAACACGCTGATCGTCAGCACCCGCCGCCCCATCTACTGCCCAAAGATTTTCGAACTCACAACACTCTTTGCCACCAACGGCCCCAGCAACGTCGACATGTCTCAGCGATTCTACTCTTTTCACTCTCTGGTGGAGGAAGGCAGACACTTCTACACCTGGCCCTACCCACTCGCTAACCCCCTCACCCATGCTGGATTCGGTGAGTGAGTTTTGAGACGTCTCAAAAGCCATATGGATTCGCTGACTGAGTGAGGCAACTGCCAGGGCCTCAAAAGTTGTTGTTGTTTTTGTTGTTGCTGCTGCTCTTGCTGCTGCCACTGCTGCTGCTGTTTTTTTCTCCCTGCCAACTCTTAACTTGGTGAGTGAGTTAACGGCAATGGTCAATGAGCCTCCATTTTTTTTCACATATGGTCCAGAATTCTTGTACACGAAGCATTACCCTTCTTGGGGAGCCCTCTCACTCATGCGTGACTTTGGCGTCGAATCACAAGTCGACTTATGAGGCGCCTCAATCTTTGAGTCGACTCAAAAGCACTGTCCTTCGAGAGCCCTCTCACTCATGCGCGACTTCAGCGTCGAATTACAAGTGGACTTCTGAGGCGCCTCAAAAGCACCCTCCTTGAAGAGTCCTCTCACTCGTGCGCGAGTGGGTGAAGCGACTTCAGTGTCGGATCAAGAGAGGAAGTTGATAATAATAATCTGCTTCCAATTTTCCAATCCCTCGTCTTTCTCCCTACCTCGCCTCAGGTGTCGCCTTTCCTCTCTGCCGCAGTGTCCCCACCAACCAGCCCATTAAGGCAAGGCAATCAGCAGCAGCAGAAGCACCACACAGAATGCTTGGTGTTCACAGTCAGGCGGCTTTAGGCGTGTCCATCAGTCTTCAATCCCCCTTGTCTCTCACCCCGGCCCAGGTGTCAGTTTTCCTCTCCGCCGCAGCGTCCCCACCAACCACTCGAGGCAATCAGCAGCGGGACCAGTGTACGGGTCACTTGCTGCTTCCGTTGACGTGACTTACATTGCTCAGAAGGTCCTAGAGGAGCTCTATGAACCTGGTGAGTGAGGGGCTGTATCATGTACGCACAGCTTTTGACCTATCGATGTCCCCTTGTGTGTGTGTGTGTGTGTGTGTGTGTGTGTGTGTGTGTGTGTGTGTGTGTGTGTTTGAGTTTTGAATGGACTTGTGTTCATTTGTTTTGTGCTCTTCTTACTCTCACACTCGCTCTACCCTTCTCCCCCCTCCCCCCACCTCCCCCTCTCCCCCAACCCCCCTCTCTCCCCTTTTTTCCCTCTCCAATGCAGACTCATCCGAGTCCTTTGAACTATACGGCATCACTGACCCAACCACCCTCTTCGCCATCATCCATCTCTGAGGCATCTACTAAATTCTCTGTTTTTTTAGAATTCTCAAAAAACATACACTGTATCTACTCTCAATCCTCCCCTTCCCGTCCTCTTCCCTCTCCCTTCCAACCCTCCAACCCTCCCAACCCTCCCACCCAGACCCATCCAAGTCCTTTGAGCTATACGACATCACCGACCCAGCCACCCTCTTCGCCATTGTCTCTCCAGTCCCCCCCCATGCCTATTTCCGCCCCGACGACAAGCTCCCCTACATGCACCCCTCCCCGGAGTCCGAAACCCGCCCCTGGGAGCATAGAGCCGTGGTGCCTTTGGAGGAGATGGGAGCAGGCGTGCGCAAATATGAAGTCTGGTGCAGGTCAGTGAGCCTTCGTGTGAGGCTGTGAGTGAGCTTTCAAGTGGGAGAGTGAGTGGGCCTTCTCGACTCTAAAACCCACCCCTCGGGCTGTATCACTCGCTCTCTTGCCCCCCCATGTGCACCCCGCTCCGGAATCTGAAATCAACCCTTGGGAGCACCAAGCCCTGGTGCCTCTGGATAGCTGTTGACAGCTCTTGAAAGCTCTTCATAGCTCTTGATAGCTCTGGTGCACGTAAGCTCTTGAAAGCATTATGTAGGATGACCTTTGAGGCGACTCAATAGTCATCTGGCCTGAATAGCTTTCAAATACAAGGTGTGGTGTATGAATAGCTTTCAAATACAAGGTGTAGGTACGCTCTTGAAAGAATCATGCGGGATTTGTCCTATTATTCCCCCCTCATCCTGGCATACCCAGCCTCCCAGCGCATGGTAGCAGTGGCCCATTCCTAACGTCATTGCCCTCTTCCTGTGCCTCTGCACAGTAAATATAATATTTGAATTTTTGAGTCGGATTTCTTGGAACTCCTTGAATTAGCAGGAAACTACAACAGATCGACTGTTATTCCTTTGCTAAAAGTTTATTTTTAGACTGCTGCTCGCCTAACTTCATGGCTGAAGATATCTGAACGACCTTCCTTCCTGTTATTCCCCCCCCTCCAGACACACCCGGCCTCCCAAGCACATGGCACCTGTGGGGCATCCTCATCCTCACCACTCTCTTCCTGTGCCCTTGCATGGCAGATACCCCATCCTCACCACTCTCTTCCTGTGCCCTTGCATGGCAGATAAAGAATATTCCACGACCTTCTTGTGATCCCCACCTCCCCGCCTTCTCATCCAGGCACACCCAGCCTTCCAACTTGTGGCAATCGTGGGGCGTCCCCATCCTCATCGCCCTCTTCGCCCTCTTCCTCGTGCTGCTCGTGCTGCTGGCTGCTTGTCTGCAACGCGCCAAGTTCCTGCAGACCCAGCAGCAGGTGGCGGAAGCGGATAGGCTGAGACGGCAGGCGGAGCGTGCAGAGGTGTCTAAGAGCATGTTTGTGGCGTGCATGTCTCATGAGCTCAGGACACCGATGATTGGGATCATTGGTATGTACAGTGTTAATGCGTTACCGAGTCTGTTTTTTAGGCGCATAAGAAGAAGAGGCAGAGGGCGCAGAGGCGTCTAAGAGCATGTTTGTGGCGTGCATGCCTCACGAGCTCAGGACATCCATGGTTGGGATTGGTAGGTAACAGGCACAGCATTCCTGCTTCATTCATGCACGTCTGCCGCGTCTGCTGCATTCCTGCAGTGCAGCCCCTGCATCTTATGGGGAATGCAGATCCAGCAGCAGGTGGCAGAGGCCGATAGGCTGAGACGGGAGGCGGAGGGCGCAGAGGCGTCTAAGAGCATGTTTGTGGCGTGCATGTCTCATGAGCTCAGAACGCCCATGGTTGGGATCACTGGTAGGTACAGTGTTCATGCGTTACTGAGTCTCTTTTTTTAGTGTGTGTGAAGAAGAAGAGTCAAAGAGCAAGAGCATGTCACATGAGTCTGTTTATAAAGAAGAAGAGCCAGAGGGAGCAGGGGTATAGTTTTGAGGCGCCTCTAAAACACATTAAGAGTGTGTAAAGAAGAAGAGACAGAGGGAGCAGGGGCGTCAAAGAGCATGTCACATGAGGTCAGAATGCTCATGGCCGCAGCATCAGCCAGGCATGCAATGCATCTGGTCAACTGCATGTTTCCCTTTTCCCCAAAATTCCATTCACTTTTCCCACCAGGCGTGCTTGACGCTCTAGCAGACATGAATGGCCGGGGCATCAGCAAGAGATGCACTGCATCTGGTCAACCGCTTCCTTCTCTTGGCTCTATGCATACCTGCGCCCATGTGCTCCCACCAGGCTTGCTTGATGCTCTGGCAGATATGAGCCTGAGCGCCTCTCAGCTCGCAGATCTCCTCATGGCCGGGGCATCAGCAAGAGATGCACTGCATCTGGTCAACCGCGTGTTGGACCTGGCGAAGCTGGAGGCAGGCAAGGCGGTGGTGGATGAGACGGTGATTGATGTGAGGGAGTGGCTGGATGCCACGTTGCACTGGCACGCGGAAGAAGCGCGCTCCAAAGGCATCGAATGTGAGTCAGTCGTTTAATGAAGGGGGGTGCACTGCATGTGGTCAAGCTGGAGGGGAGCAAGGCGATGGTGGATGAGACGGTGATTGATGTGATGGAGTGGCTAGGGTTTAATGAAAGACCATTCGAGTGGCTAGATGGCGCTCTGGGCTGGCATGCAGAAGAAGCACGGCTGAACCCTGGCTGAACCCTGAACCCTAAACCCAGGTATTGAGTGTGAGTGGCCCGAGTAATGATGCTGGTTCGAGAGAGCTCAAGGGGAAGGTATACAGGGCGAGTGGGATGCATCTGGTGAACCGCGTGCATTAACTGGCGAATCTTGAGGGGAGCAAGGCGATGGTGGATGCGACGGCGATAAACGTGTGAGAGTGGCTAGATGGCGCTCTGGGTCGGCGTGCGGAAGAAGCACCACTTAAAGGCATTGAATGTGGGTGACTTGTTGAGGGGAGTGCACTGCATGTGGTCAAGCTGGAGGCAGGCAAGGCAACGTCGCAGGAGTGCCTTCTCATGGTTTCTGTCTATCACCATGCAACATTCGCTGTGGGTTTCTATACAGCAGCATGAGTTCTCCCAATGTAGCACGAACCCGTTCTCACAATCGCGCATTGGAAACTTTCTCCGTCCTTCCTCCCACTGCAGTGAGCAGCAGTGTCAGCACGGATTGTCCCTCGCATGTCATTGTGGACCCCTTGCTCCTCAGCAATGCGCTCAAGGAGATCACAGGTGATGCGGAGGTTGAGGCTGTGATGCTGTGTGGGCTGAGGCTGAGAGTGTGGTGCTGAGGCTGAGGCTGAGACGTGAGTGGCTGGTGGTGGGATGGTGGTAACGACTCATTGCAACATGTGGATACCACTCACCTCGGCTACATTTCAGATAACGCACTCAAGTTTACGAAAATCCGGATTATGATCCGGTTCCCACTCGAGATGTTTCCTTGGTTTTGTTTCAGATAACGCTGTCAAGTTCACGACACAAGGCCACGTGACAGTGCGGGTGTCCCTCATGCCGCAAGGGACAAGCTTGCAAGCCACCCTTTGCTACCAGGGTAAGCTTGATTATCAGCAGTTAAACGTAGCATTGGTGATTACTCATGCGTATTCATACTGGTTCATATTGGTTAATTCTGGTTCATACTGGGTCATTCTGGTTCATACTGGGTCATTCTGGTTCATGCTCGTTCATTCCCATGCAATCTCTGTACAGATCCCCTGTCCCTGGTCCTTGATTCTCTCCTTTTCACCTATATATGTCACTCCTTGATTCTTCACTCTAACACCCTCACTTCCTGCACACTGTTCCCCACCCCCTCTCCACCACCTTTACCTCCCTCCGTTCTCCGTTCTCCGTTCCACGTTTCCCACGACTGTTCCATGCCTTCTCTCAACCACACCGCAAGCTCCCAGAACTGTTCACTGTCGCCCGCCTTGATTATTTCCACAAAGCAGCCCAGAAGCACATTTCCTCTCTCCACGTGAATGGTTAGATGGTTCTTGCCACGTTTTCCACATCCACGCCAGGCCTTTCCCCAGCCATCCCAGAAGCACGCACCTGGTCAACTCTCCACGGTGCGTGCATTGAGCTCTGCTCTAGATGGCGCTGCCTGCTCGATGGGGAGAAGGCAAGGCAAGCAGTGCGAGCAGTGAAGGGGGAGGGGGCACCAGCAGTAGCAGCAGCAGCACCACCACCACCATCATCACGGAGTCAAGATAGGAGACATATGCGAAAACCAGACAGGGGGCGTGGGAGGCGACATCATGGGACAGGGCATGGCATAGGGTGTGGGAGAGGGCGAGAGAGGGGTGGAGAGCGGTGCATGCTGGTGCTGTCGTGTCAAGACTCAGGCTGCGGCCTTCCAGCGTCGCTCCACACTGCAAGCGGCGCTGAAGGGCCGTCCTACTTCTCCCTTCAGGTGAGCCTCTAACTTCTCTCTCTTGATAAGCCCTCCACTTCTCTCCCTTCTCCATCCAACCAATCACTTTTCACTCCAATCTGTGATGCGCTTCAAAAATCACTTCTTACTCCAGTCAGACTTTTTTCTCCAGCCCTCCACTCCGGCCTCCCAATTGGTCCCTCCCTCATACATCCAACTCTTGTACATGTCTGTCTTTGCTCTTCCAGGAGTCGCGGGAGCAAAGGGAGGCGAGGAATGGATCAGGGGCAGCACTGGGGCTTTTGAGTCGATTTAATAGTCCACTCCAGCCCTCCATTCCGGCCTCCCACTTGGCCCCTCCCTCATACATCCAGCTCCTTCCTTTGACATGTCTGTCTTCACTCTTCCAGGAGTCGCGGGAGCCAAGGGAAGCGAGGAGTGGGTCAGGGGCAGCACTGGGGCTCGTGTTGGTACAGCAAACGGTGAGTCCCTCCAACACCTGTTCATTCCTCATTCTCACCGTCTTGCCAACTCTGTGTTGTTTCCACTGCTACTACTACTGCTGCTGGTTTTTCCCAAAAACCCTCAAACACCTGTTCATTCCTCATTCCCACCGTCTTGCCAGCTCCGTGTTGTTTCTACTGCTACTACTACTGCTGCTGGTGGTTTCTTAGAGCTCCCAAAAACCCTCGAACATCTCTTCATTCCTCATTCTCACTGTCTTGCCAACTCCGTGTTGTTGCCACTGCTGCTGCCGCCGCCGCCGCTGCTGTCGCTGTCGTTGCTTCTCAATCCTAGGTCTGGTTGTCAGTTACATAAGCATGCCTTGTTATCGCCCTCCTCCTTCCCACTCACCCCCAGGTGACTCTAATGAAGGGAGAGCTCGCCTTTGACTCTCAGCCCGGGTGTGGCAGCACAGTTGCTTTCTCTGTGCCTGTAGCCATGCCCTCGTTACAAGAACACCGCCTAGAGGAACTGCAGTCAAACATTCAGGAACAACAGCAGCAGCAGCAACAGGAACAGAATCAACAGCAGCAAGGTGAGGCCGTATGGCATGGTGAGAGGCAAAGGAGCAGGTCAGGTGATTCCTCAGGTGCCTCCAGCAGTGGTGATGAGCATAAGACAGATTCAGGAGATTGTTCAGGTGTCAGGTGCAGATGTATGCTGCAGCAGCACAGCCAGGTGAGTGGTCAGGTGGCTCAGCAAAACCAGAACCACCAGCAGAACCAGCAGCAGAACCAGCAGCACCAGCAGCAGGGAGTGAGACTCATTCAGGAAAGCCAGAGCAATGGGAGTGGGAGTGGGAGTGCAAGGTGTGAGCCATCCATCTCAATGTGTGTGCTTAGAACCATCACCACTGTTGCTGGCATGGGCATGCGTGCAGGCATGCGTGCAGGCACAGGAGCAGTTGCAGGTGCTGCTGCTGCCGCTGGTGCGGATGAGGCGGTGACGCGGGCGTGGGTGGGGGGGCTGCGAGTGCTGGTGGTGGACGACACGCCCGTCAACCTCCTCGTGGCCCGCCGCTCCCTCGCCCGCTGGGGGGCGCTTGTGACCACCGCCAACCATGGGCAACAAGCAGTGGACTTAATCGCTGCTGGCTTGCAGGAGAGCTCCCTCGCCCGCTGCGGCACCCTCGTCACCACCACCTCTATTGGGCTGGAGGCGATTGAGTCGATTGCTGCTGGCCTCATCTCCTCCGCCTCCCACGGGCAGCAGGCCATTGACCCGCTCGCTGCTGGGTTGGTGGGGTGTGGGGGATGGGAGGAGGAAGAGAGAGGGCAGCAGGCAGTTGGGGAGGAGGGAAGACAGCAGCAGGAGGCGAGAGGGGAACAGGAGGCGAGAGGGGAGAAGGAGACGAGAGGGAAAGAGGAGGGGAGAGGGAAGCAGGAGGCAAGAGGGCAAGAGGAAGGGAGAGGGAAGCAGCTGGCGAGAGGGCAGGAGGAAGGGAGAGGGAAGCAGCTGGCGAGAGGGCAGGAGGAGGGGGATGCGTCCTTGCAGCATGGCTTCGATTTGGTTCTCATGGACTTGCAGATGCCGGGCATGAATGGGTGAGTGGTTGTGAGCAGTGGTGAGTGGTGGCCATGACCGGATGAGTTATGAACGTGCATACTAAACTTTTCGTCTGCATGAACCTCGCTCTTTGCAAACTGTATCTGGTTGCTTGATGTCCCTGTTGCTTGACGTTCCTCCCTTCCTCCTTTTCCACTTGCTTTGGCAGCTTCGCAGCAGCAGCAGCCATACGAGCTCTTGAGAGGAGGATGAGGTTTGAAACAATTTCACGGGCACAGAAAAGGCAGCAGCAAACCCCTTCTGCTCTTTGCATCCCTCTCCTAGAAGCTTCAAACCCTGCTGCTGCTGGCACTGGTGTTGGTGCTGTTGCTGCTGCTGCTGGAGGTGATGGTGGGTGGGTAGGGTCTCTGCGGGTGCCCATAGTGGCTCTGACAGCAGACGTGGATCGCAGAGTGGTGCAGAGGTGTGCAGAAGGGGGGTTTGACGGTGTGCTGCAGAAGCCAGTGGATGCCTACCTGCTTGCCGCCCGCCTCGCCCAGATGCACTCCCAGAGGTCACTCCTACAGATCATGCCACACCCCAATACTGGCATCCCACCACAAACAGACACCATCGATGCAGCAGCCAGTGATTCTTTTGAATGCTGAAAAGTCGGGCTGCTTCACAGACCACTGTGAGGCAAACTGCCAATAGATACCACTGAAGCAGCAGGCAGTAATATTTGGGACAGCTCAAAACACGCTTGGGGGCTGCTTCCCTTTGTCTTAGGACCACTTCAAATGCTGAAAGGTACTGCACGCGCAGCTGCGGGTGGTCTTCGGATGGTTCACATCTCGCTCGGGTTGCTTCTCTGTGCCTTACGACAACTGAAACTACTGACATACACCAAAGCAGGCCCCTAGATTCGTTTTGAGGTAGTCTGAGGCCTCAGAGTACACCCCTCCTGGAACTCTGTCTGTCAGAGGTGCCTCAAAATTTTAGTCTGAAAATTCAGACAAGCACAATTTTTGTCTGAACTGTCAGAGTTACTTCAAATTTTAAGATGTTCATGCAGTTTCGTAAAAGCCGTTATAATAGCATTGAAGCTGATTACAGCCTACCATACCAACGCATCAGGCAACGTGCTCGTGCTCGTGCATCACCTCTGCTCATGTCGGCGGCGTTCCGGTGTTTTGGTCACGTGCAGCGCATGGTTGTTTCTGCTCTGCTGATCTCATTTCGTTTTGTCATGTGTGTGATTACCGTTCTGTACCCATTTTCTCGCATGTGTGCCGATTTTGTCAGTTTTGGATTTGCTTTTCAAGGGACTCGATCGTTCACCCGGTCTGTATCAGGTGGGCCAAGTGCCACGCAGCTGAGCTGGCAGCAGGCAAAAACTGTTGCTTGGTGTGGCATGTGAGGACCAGACAGTGCCACACGAAACTTTCACTATGGATCAGGAACTTCGCAATTCACACCAGTGCGTGCTGCAGATGTTTTTACATCGAATCAGCATCAAAGTCGCCTATTCTTTACAATACATTAGCGATAACTTACATGTGACGAGATTTTGTCCTCAGAAATCTCGTAATCACGCAACCATTTCCTCAGCGCAACTGGAAGATATTCTCGACGAACGAGTGTATTTGGATGTCCCAACTGTCGAAGTGAGCGTTGCTCACGTCCTGGCACTCCACTGCCATCTCAGAAGTGGGCATATCGGAAAGAATCTTCCAAGAAACTTTGCTCCGATAAGCGCGCAGAGTGTACCCCCGATACAAGTATGAGGCTCAGCCTACCCTAGTAAAATTAGGCTGAAATTTCAGACAACTCATAAGAAAAAACTCTGGAAAATCAGACAAGGTACATAAATAAATTCTTTGAGTTCATACTAGGTACAAAAAAAAAGTCTGAACGGACTCTGATTCAGACTCCAAAGTCTGATATCTAGGGCACTGCACCAAAGGCACTACACATCCCACAGATACTACACAGACTCAGCTGATTTACTGAGGACAACTGACAAGATTCTTCTGAATAGTCTAAGACGCAGCTTGCATTTCTAAAGATATAGGATCTGGGGGACTTACAACAACTCTCTTGAAGAAAGCTAGGGTGAATATAAATGATAATGGCACGGGTTTCTGTAAGACCCTTGTACATATATTTTTTCGATTTAATGAGTTGTGATATGTGGAGTACACTTGAAATTGGGGGGGGGGGGGGGAGGGGGACGGGGAGAGGGGGAGAGGGGGGAGGTGAGGGGGGGAAGGGGAAGTGGGGGGAGGTCTTGCCGTATACTCGTACCATGCAAAACCCCGCTTTGTGCAGAAGTCGCGAGGGTGATGCACGAGGTCGAAATTTTGATGCGTTGTATATGTTAGATTTAGGGTCTAACACCAAGTCCACGTCAGATTTTGATGTTTGACCCTCTAAAAATTGGCACGTACGTGCTAAGGCCGAACAATATTCAGAAAATAAGGGTCCTTCAAACATTTATACTGAAAGGGGGGTCCTCACAGATGTCGACCACTATAAAAGGCCCTTTTCTGCGTAAGATTCCCTGGGGACCCTCTTTCCCGAGTGCCTTATATCAGGAGGAATAAGGTGCATATCCATCTAAATAGTCTGGCTGCAATTTTGAGCCAAGTGCAGCGCCAACAATCAATCATGTTCACCTAGCATCAATGCCTTCTCTGAGAAGAAACGAGAATGAATGAACTATGAAAGAAGTGAGTACAAGTACTAACCCTAATTGGGTTGTACCCCCTATGGGATACCCCACTATAGCCTACAAAAAATGTATAAGCTACAATGTTATGACACACCACCATAGGCAAAGTGGGGGAGAACAAGGGGTCACAAGACCAATCAAGCAAAGCAAAGCAAAACAAGCTCAGGGTGGATCTCAAAGTCACCACACATTCCGAGCACAAGTTCAGGGCCACAGGGCCAGTTCACATGCAGGAGTACATATACATAAAAGCTAGACAAGCAAGAGCAGGTATAAATATATGAAACAGTACAAGAAAGGTCAAGAGGTGAGCAAGTGAGGCAAGACAGGCACAAGACCCAGCTGCGTACAGAAGCGCTGATGATCACAAGGCGCAAGTGCCTTGGTGAAGACATCAGCAGTGTTGGCCTCAGAGGCCACGTACGCAAGCCGCAACTGACCACGCTGCTGTAGCTCACGAGCAAGGAAGTAGCGGAGAGCAATGTGCTTTGTTCTGTGCTCCAGTCTCTGCTCTCGACACAAGGCCAGCATGGCCTTGTTGTCTACGTACAGGACTGGAGGAGAACGAGGCGGCTCTCCAAGGTCGGTCAGCAGGTAGGTGAGCCAGCGAAGCTCCTGTGCAGCCATGGCCCCGGCGTAGATCTCAGCCTCACAACTGGAGCCGAGAACAGAAGACGAGCGAGTAGCCCGCCACGAAACAGAGCCAGAACCAAGGCTGAAGGTGTAACCCTGTGACGACCGCTGCGTAGCCTGGTCGTCAGCCCAAGAAGCGTCTGCGTGCCCAGTGAGGACCACTGGACTCCGCCCTCCAAGCACTAGCCCCATGCCCGACGTACTGCACAAGTAGCGCAACACCCTCTTTGCTGCAGCCATGTGCTCTGGTCGGTGTCTCCCAGGAGCAACATAGCGTGCAAGAATGCTAAGAGGGTATGCAAGGTCAGGTCGTGTGCAGGTCATCAGGTACATGAGGCAGCCAACAAGCTCTGGGTACGGGCCACTCGACTCTACGGACTCATCCGAAGGCAGAGCTGAGAGCGAGTGGCGAGTAGACAGAGGAGTGGCCTGAGGCGAGGAGTACGTGAAGCCGAAGCGCTGAAGGACCTGCTGCACCATGTGTGTCTGAGTCAAGGTAATGGTGCGGCGTGCTCTATCCCGGGTGATCTGCAAGCCAAGGTAGCTGCGCAGTTCACCCAGGTCTGTGCACGTGTGTCTCTTCTGCAGCTCGGACTTCACATAGGCGAGTCCAGCAGTGTCAGCTGTGGCATAGACCAAGTCGTCGACGTACACGAGGATCTAGAACGGCGGCAGAGAAGTGTCGGTGCGTAGAAACAGCGACGGGTCGGCAGTAGAGGGAGCAAACCCAAGAGCCGCAAGTGTAGTCCTTAGTGTGTCGTGCCACTCACGCTGTGCCTGGCGGAGACCGTAGACTGGCCGCCGGAGGCTCCACTGGGTGCCAGGATGAAAAGTCCCAGTGAAGCCAAGTGGGCGGCGCAGCCATATCTCCTCGTGCAGGCTGCCCTGCAGGAAAGCAGTGCTGAAGTCAAGAGAGTGTAGCTCGTAGTCACGGTGAGCAGCTACATGCAACAGTACCCAAAGAGTGGTCATCTTCGGGGTGGGAGAGAAGGTCTGAAAGTAGTCAACTCCCTGCCGCTGAATGAAGCCACGAGCCACGTAACGCGCCTTGAAGACAGGCGGAGAACCCGGTGGCTGCTTCACCCTGAAAATCCACATGCCACTGACGATGTTCACCCTAGGAGGGGGGACAGCGTCAACGTAGGTGCCTGTGGACTTCGAGGAAGCCGTCTCTGCATCCATAGCTGCCTGCCACTAAGAAGAGGAAAGACCCTTTATCGCCTCCGCGTAAGAGCGCGGAGTCGGGATGTCAAGTGCATCCGGGTCTCCCTCAGCGGTAAGCAGTACGGACACGAGATGAGGTGAAGCAGCGGCCAAGCACTCAAACTCCTCCTGCCTGTCCTCAAGGACGTCCGTGCCAAGGGCACACTCACCCGCGACGGACGGAGGAGAGACAGACTCGTACTCAGCGACAAGACTAGCAGCGAAGTCTAGACGACAGCGAGCAGCAAAGTCGACGAGCTCCTCAACGAGAGCAGACGCAGCAGTGGACTCAAAGGAAGGGTCAGTGACGACAGTAGCAAGGAGACGCGTGACAGTCGGACTGGCAGCACGAAGAGAGTCCGACTCCAGGTCGGGAAGAGCAGGAAGAAAGGACTCAGGAGGAGAGGGCAAAGGGGCACGCAGAGGAGCAGTGGACGGACGCAGAGACATCCAGTGCGTGCCAGGGACAGGAGGAGGACGCTGACACGAACCACGACCACTAGTGTGAGCAGCACGGGCAAGCGACGCAGCGCGAGACGCGGGCTCACGACGCTCAGCAAGACCTCCAGTAGGACCAGTGTAGGGAGAAGGAGCAGGCAGTGGAGAGGCCGGCTGTAACTGTAACTGGGACAGGACAGGCTGTGGACACTCTAAGGGATGAGGAGGACGACCAGTAGAAGGCGGGAGACCAAGAACCTGCTGAAGGAGCGGAACGAAGTACGGCCAAGGCTGCGCGGCGACTCCAAACACAGCAGAGACAGCACCAGTACCCCCAGCGGCAGCACCAGCACCAGCAGCACCTCCACCTCCAGTACCTCCAGCAGCACCAGTAGCACCCCTAGTAGGGTCGCCTCCAGGACCGACAGCAGAAGCTTCCGCGCCAACACCCGCAGTAGCTCCAGCTCCAGAAGTACCCGCAGACCTAGCAGCTCCAGTACTCCCAGTACAAGCACCTACGGGACCCGCTGCACCAGCACCCTCAGCAACAACAGAAACTCTAGCACCCGCAGCACCTCCAGCTCCAGCAGCTCGCCTCCAGCGCCGAACAAACCACTCACGCAACTCTTGTGGAGAGAGTGGCTCCCGGCGAGACGAAGC